TATATATATATATATATATATATATATATATATATATATATATTGTTTCTTTCTTTCTTTCTCTTTCTTTCTTTTTCTTTCTTTCTTTTTCTTTATCTTTCTTTTTTCCCTCCCTCCCTCCTCCTTCTTCCTTCCTCCCTCCCTTCCTTCCCTCATTCACTCCCCTTCCTTCCTTCCTTCCTTCCTTCCTTCCTTCCTTCCTTCCTTCCTTCCTTCCTTCGGGTTCCCTTCCTTCCTTCCTTCCTTCCTTCCTTCCTTCCTTCCTTCCTTCCTTCCTTCTTTCCTTCCTTCCTTCCTTCTTTCCTTCCTTCCTTCCTTTCTTCCTCCCTTCCTCTTTTTCTTTACTCCCTCCCTCCTTCCTTCCTTCCTTTCTTCCTTCCTCCCTCCCTCTCTCCCTTCCTTTCTTCCTTCCCTCCCTCATTCACTCCCCTTCCTTCCTTCCTCCCTCCCTCCCTCTTTCTTTCTTTCTTTCTTTCTTTCCTCCCTCCCTCCTCCTTCCTTCCTCCCTCACTCCCTTTCTCCCTTCCTTCCCTCCTCCTCCCTCTCTTCTTTCTTTCTTTCTTTCTTTCTTTCTTTCTTCTTTCCTCCCTCCCTCCCTCCTCCCTCCCTCCTCCCCCCCCTTTCTTTCTTTCTTTCTTTCTTTCTTTCTTTCTTTCTTTCTTTCTTTCCTCCCTCCCTCCCTCCTTCCTTCCTTCCTCCCTCACTCCCTTTCTCCCTTCCTTCCTTCCTCCCTCCCTCCCTCTTTCTTTCTTTCTTTCTTTCTTTCTTTCTTTCTTTCTTTCTTTCTCTTTCCTCCCTCCCTCCCTCCTCCCTCCCTCCCTCCCTCCCCCTTTCTTTCTTTCTTTCTTTCTTTCTTTCTTTCTTTCTTTCTTTCTTTCTTTCCTCCTTGCCTCTTCCTCTCCTCTCCTTCCTTACCCCAACCTTTTCCCAACAAAAGCTTCCTCCGAAAACTAAGAATAAAAATAGAATTAGAAAGTCAAATTACATCAGGCGTCTCTCCTTGATAAGGTGGTCCCATTTCCCACTAATCCTGCCTCTGGGATGCTAAAAATAAATTCACTTGGGCCAATTAAGACGTATGGATGCCAGCGCTGCAAACAGGAGGAACACTTTAAGTCCTTAGGCTCGAAGCAGCTTGGCTATTGTTGGCTTCTGCAATAAGAGCAAGGAAAAGCTAGAGCTTGAGGTCAAGTGCCTTGCAGAGTCCAGATGTCTGAGCCAGCAGTTTATCTGACCAATCGACGGTTGGTTAAAGAGAGAGCCCAGCTGAAGCATCCCTTTTTTGCAGTCTCTGCCTTATCTTGAAGCACAGCATGTTATTATAAATTAATGCATGCTGTGTTTATCTCAGCCCATTGGAGAAATTAAACATTTTGTTCTGTACTTTGCGAGGTTTTGGAAGAATATTTTTTAAAAAATCCCCCTCTTTTTTTAAAAAATGGGTCAAGGATCTCCTCCCATTCTTAGCCATTTGTTCCAAGACACGGGAAGGAGTGATAAATTTCATGAACATTTTCTCTCCCAGTTCAAGGGCAAAAAAAAACAAAAAACAAAACCTTCTGCCTAGTTTGGCAAATTTTGCAAAATAAGGAATGGATGAAAATCTTTAAAGGAGAAAAAGCATCTGGATTTTGATCACATGACCCTGGGGATGCTGCCACGGTCGTCAGTGTGAAAAAGTCACTTTTTTTCAGTGCCGTTGTTAACTTTGAACTGTCACTGTGGTAAGTCGAGGACTATCTGTATTTGTGTTGACATTGTGACAAGCCGTTTGCACTGATAATGGTACCTAGTTTGGGCAATGAAACATCTGCAAGAAAACAACCAAACTCAGAGAACACCGAGGCCTCAAGCCAGTTTTGCTGGATGCCGTTCATAAACTTCCCCAAAATTGGAACTCAAAACATGGAAAAATAATGTTAAAAATAATATTTAAGTCAGGCAAGGTTCACCAGAATTCAGCTGATTATATTGATATATCAATTATCCTCCCTAGATCAGCGCACGGAGTAAGAGAAATCTCTTTGGTAAAAGTTTTATCTCAACAAGGCTGTCCTGAGAGAAACATCTAATTTCTTATCTTGAATAATAATAATAATAATAATAATAATAATAATAATAATAATAATAATAATAATAATAATTTGGAAGGGACCTTGAAGGTCATCTAGTCCAACCCCCTGCTCAGGCAGGAAACCCTATACCATTTCAGACAAATGGCTGTCCAGTCACTTCTTAAAAACTTCCAGTGTTGGAGCATTCACCGCTTCTGGAGACAGGTTGTTCCACTGGTTCATTGTTCTAACTGTCAGGAAGTTTCTCCTTAGTTCCAGGTTGCTTCTCTCCTTGATTAGTTTCTATCCGTTGCTTCTTGTCCTGCCTTCCGGTGCTTTGGAGAAGAGTTTGACTCCCTCTTCTTTGGGGCAGCCCCTGAGATACTGGAAGACTGCTATCCTGTCCCCCCCCTCGTCCTTCTCTTCGTTAAACTAGACATACCCAATTCCAGCAACCGTTCCGTGTATGTTTTAGCCTCCAATCCCCTGATCGTGTTTGTTACTCTTCTTTGCACTCTTTCTAGAGTCTCAACATCTTTTTTACATTTTGGTGACCAAAATTGGATGCAGTATTCCAAGCGTGGCCTTACCCAGGCATTGTAAAGTGGTATTAATACTTCATACTTGTTCCACGGCATGGGATGCAATCCCATGTATTGTGTAATCCTTGTTCGGCATCATGTACTTGAGACAGCACCAAGTACATCATGCTAACCAAGCATGGATCTCACAATACACGTGACTGAGAGAGAAGCTGTCAGAAAATTTAAAAAAAATAGCACTTAAATTGAAGCAAATCAGAATTTCCAGAAAAAAATGAGCAGCTTTAGGGAAAGCCTTTAATTTTAAGAAAGCAAGCTCCTTACTTGGTATTTTTTTTTTGTTTGAATGTAGCAAGGAATTGATCAAGAGGTGAAAACAATTTTAAAGGACCTACTTACTTCAGATCTCCGTCCTCGGTTGAGGTACGTGCAGACGGGACTAAACGCTCCACTCCCACAAACATACAGATGGGTGCGGTTGAACATCTGTATCACCCGGACAAAATTGCCGCAACCGTGCTGCAAGGGGGGGGAAATGGATAAACCTGCACATAAATGTTACATCACAACAGGCCACATTAGAACAGAATGCAAAATAAGAGAAGAGCTGGAAAGGACCTTGGAGGTCATCTAGTCCAACTCCCTGCTCAGGCAGGAAACCCTATACCATTTCAGACAAATAGTTGTCCAGTCTCTTCTTAAAAGTTTCCAGTGTTGGAGCATTCATAACTTCTGGCGTTATCCCAAAGATGCTTTTTTGCAGGAGGCAACTGAAGTTTCATTTTTTTTTATTAAAAGTTTTATAAATTTATTATAAAGCGGTATATAAGTCTCATAAATAAATAAATAAATAAATTACAATATAAACCCTCCACTCCTTTCCCCCCCTCCCCCCACTTCCCAGAGCTGATTACAGGGTAAAACGAAAGAATAAACAAATATAATCCAACTAACATAAACCAACTATACTATCAATCAAAACCATAAGACACTTTAACTCCTTCTCAATACAAATATTAACAAATTAAGTCAATAATAATAATATAATTAAAGCTATTAATAATTATCTAAAATCTACTCAAAAGCAAGATAATACTTTTCAATTTCATATTTCTTCTGAATATAATCAATCCATCTTCTCCAAACCATAATATATCTTTCTTGTGAATGGTCCTTCAAATAGGCGGAGATCTTCGCCATATCCGCTAAATTAGACACTTTAAGTATCCATTCTTCCAAAGTAGGCAACAAATTCTTCTCCCAATCAGTATTGCCCCACCAATAATCTTGCAGCTGTTATAAGGTTCAACATCAAAATTAGTTTCTTTAACATCAAAATCTACAATAATACCCAACAAAAATAATTGCGGAGTAAACTTAATCTTTTTCTTAAAAATCTTTTGAATATTCCACCAAATCTTGATCCAAAAAGCTTTAATATCTTGACAAGTCCACCAAATGTGGCAACTGAACTTTCTTGTTTTTCTTTGAAGATATTTCGCTTCTCATCAAGAAGCTTCTTCAGCACTGCTGAAGGGTGAGGAATGGAAGGATTTATACTCCTCACAGACAGCTGGTCATTTGCCTTCTTTTAGAGAGTCATTGAGGCCACTTGGAGCTTTATCTGTCCCCTCAGGGTCACCTGAGTGGTGCAAATGGGCGCGGAGCTTTCCTGCAACTGCTGAAAGGGCTGTGTTGTAGACTGGAGATAGATGATGTCATTGCCCCCCCAGTGAGAGAGGGCTGTTCAGTTTTGACATAGATGGCCTCTTTGATCCCTCTTTCAAACCAGCGGTCCTCTCTGTCCAAAATGTGGACTTTGCTGTCTTCAAAAGGGTGACCTTTGTCTTTTAAATGCAGATGGACTGCTGAATCGTGCTTCAAGTCCTTTTGAGTCAGGACCTGAAGCACGAGGGGGAGGGGGAGAGAAAGTTTCTTTGATCTAAATTGGTGGGACTTTCTGCCCAATGTAAAGAGGATGGGAACAAAGGTGACTCATCCACTGATTTAGCGTATTTGGATGCTTCTATCCAAATGTCTAAAGCAGTGGTTCTCAACCTTTTTAATGCCACGACCCCCAACCGGTCGTAAGTCGAGGACTAAACCAGTCGTAAGCTGAGGACTACCCAACTGGTCGTAAGTCGAGGACTTTCCCTGCCCGGGAATGTCGCGCATGCGTGGTGCTGCCCCCTGCGCCGGCTGAGGCGTAGCTGGCAAGCGGCAGAGACGGAGCAGGCCGACCACCAGCTGGGCCACCAGCTGGCCCAGCCCAAGGGAGGTAAGGCACCCGCTGGAAAAGGGGAAAAAATGGCAGACAGCCTTGCTTGGCGACCCCCGTGAAATGGTCGATCGACCCCAAATGGGGCTGTGATCCATAGGTTGAGAACTGCTGGTCTAAAGCTACCCCTCCAATTTCCCATCCTTTCTGCCTCTCAAGAAAAAGATACAAATAAGATTGGAGAAAGACGACACATTGTGCCGTGATAAATGATGGTTTACGTGTACGTAAACACTGAGGCTATTAGCAGGTGCTGGATACAAAAGCCAAACCGGGTCCTAAACAAGCCCACATCTGGAAAAAAAACATCTGTGTGCCAGCAGGCCTTACTTGGGGTCTACAATGAACCAAGGAATGAAGGAATGGCAAGAACAGAAAAGGAACAAATTACATGTTTACATCTTCCACATGGGTGGTTAAATGTCTGCTGCAGTTGATGTTACAAGCAAATTTTCAATACTGCTGGAGAAACTGTCTAGACATTAAGAAAAGACCTTTTGTTGACTCTTGAGTCAATAGCAAGACTCAAGAAAAGGAAGAGGGGTATTTGTTAAAAAAAAAAAAAAAAAGATTTTAGGACTTATCCCTTCCCATTCTGAGGGGACAATGGGCATTGACTTTGCCTTGCTCTTGTTTGAAATTCTTGTTAGGATTAGAATGAACCCGCAATTTAACAAACATCCAGCTTTCAATGGAGGTTTTACTGGGATATCTAGCTGACCAAATTCTGAGATCCTTTATAATATCTGTGGCATTCCTATCATCTTCCAGATGTTTCTGAACTACAACACCCAGCAGCCTTCAGCCCAGACTAGGGTTGTCTGGAAATGCAGCTTAGCCAAGGGTAATGGTTGGACCCCTTAGAGAACTTAACAAAAACCCATATGGAATAAAAGTGTCAGAATGAACATATGCTTTGGCCTAAGACATATGTACATTAACACACAAATGTACACAAGGGACAAGGGGAGAGGGTGCATTGTAAAACATTTAAGGCGCACCAGCCTCTGTATAAATACACCCATCAAGTTCCTCCTCCACCAGTTTTGCAGCTCGTCCACCTCCATTCCTTACTGCTTGAACATTTTTTCCTAATATTCAGCCAAATTCTCCCTCCCACTCATCTAGATCTCAACACTCTGAAAGATGGCATGCACACATGCATTTACTGATGTTGACATACTAGTCAATCTGTATGTACTTAGCATACAGTGCTTAGAATGCAGTATTGCAGGCTAACTCTGCCCACTGCCAGCAGTTCGATCCTCCATGGCTCATGGTTGACTCAGTCTTCCATCCTTCCAAAGTCAATAAAATGAGAACCCAGATTGTTAAGGGCAATATGCTGGCTCTGAAAAACTGCTTACAGCTGTAAAGCACTATGAAGTAGTATATAAGACTAAGTGCTATTGCCCTTCCTTCCTTCCTTCCCTTTCTCATTCTCCTTCCTGGTGGCACAATGGTTAGAATGCAGTACTGCAAGCTAACTCTGCCCAATGCTAGGAGTTCGATCCTCAATGTCTCATGGTTGACTCAGTCTTCCACCCTTCCGAGGTCAATAAAATGAGGACCCAGATTGTTGGAGGCAACATGCTGACTCTGTCAAACCGCTTAGAGAGGGCTGTAAAGCACTGTGAAGCAGTATATTGTATAAGTCTAAGTGCTACTGCTACTGTATCTATACACACAAACCCACATACGCTTATATACACATGCTCCTCATAAGGATTAATACGAAAATATTCTGTGCTTAATGTATTAGAAAGGCATCCTCATCTGCTAATGGAAGGACAATGTGCATTTTTAAAAATTATCCTGATTTAATTAAACAGAAAGCTTATGATTCCATTCCTGGTGACAGCTTAATGATATAATCTATTAGGCTTGTAAGAGTCGATATTTCTTTCCTCTGATTTGATTTAAAAAAAAAAGTTAAACCTGCAAAATGTACTTAATATACCTTGATATAATATCATTTTTTTAAATGACAACTGCAGGGCCATTATGGTATTAACAGAGTGTGGGCTGCATTTGCCCAAGTTTGCTAATCAGTTTTATGGAAAAGTATGCTTAATAAAAGGCAGTGTGTTCATTCCCAAGACCCATATCAAGCTGGAAGTGTCTGTGTTCTGTTCATTTGCTAGTTGGTTCCAGTATAGTAGCTGTTTTGAGCCCTGTGTCTTAAGCAAATCTCTGCCTCTCACACTTCAGGATGAATTAAAATGGGTGGAACTGAGAAAATATTAAGAGGAAGAAGAACAGGAAAAGTGATACAAGGCATTTACAATGTCTATGTAGATCAGGGGTCTTCAAACTTGGCCCTTTGATGACTTGTGGACTTCAACTCCCAGAATTCCTCAGCCAGGCATGCTGGCTGGGGAATTCTGGGAGTTGAAGTCCACAAGTCATCAAAGGGCCAAGTTTGAAGACCCCTGATGTGGATTATCAGTCATCTATGTCAAAAATGAACAGCCCTCTCTCAACAGAGGGGGAGAGATATGGCATCATCTATCTCCAGTCTACAACACAGGCCATCATCTATCTCCAGTATACAACACAGTTCTTTCAGCAGCTCCAAGAAGGCTCCACACCCGTTTGCACCATTCAGGTGACCATGAGGACCAGAGACAAACCTCCAGGTGGCCTCAACGACTCTCTAAAAGAATGCAAATAACCAGTTGTCTGCAAGGAGTATAAATCCTTCCATTTCCCCACCATCCAGAAGCTGAAGAAGCTTCTTGGATGAGAAGCGAAACGTCTTCAAAGAAAAAACAACAAGAAAGTCCAGTTGCCTTGTGAAAAAGCACCTTTGGGATAATGCATTTACAAACACATCCATTAGTCACAGTCATCTCTGTGTGCAGCCCTGGAGGAGAGAAGGCTAAAAGCCTTTCCTTACAACTTTCCAGGTTGAGCAAGCTGCACTTTAAGGGCAGTTTAAAAGAGGCTGATTTGACACAAAGAAACTTAATAATAATAATAATATAAAAATAAAGTTGGAAGGGACCTTGGAGATCATCTAGTCCAACCTGCTGCTCAGGCAGGAAACCCTATACCAGTGATGGCGAACCTTTTAGAGACCGAGTGCCCAAACTGCAACCCAAAACCCACTTACGTATCGTCGGGTGCCGGGCGGGCATGACCTATTGGGTGGGCGTGGCCTATTGGTTGGGCATGGCTGCGGTGGTAACAGCAGACTGGGTGGGACTAAAAAGTTCAATCAATCAATTCCAACTTTGCGAGATCTTTTTTTTTCCCGTGAGAAGTTGAAATTGATTGATTGATTGAACCTTTTTTCTTTGTACATGGCGGTAGAGGCCTAAAGCAAAAAGGTTTTATAAAAGCCAACTGAAGGTCTAGGACTGGGGCAATGGCGCAAGTGTCCACAGAGAGGGCTCTGCGTGCCACCTGTGGCACGCGTGCCATAGGTTCGCCAGCACGGCCCTATACCATTTCAAACAAATGGCTGTCCAGTCTCTTCTTAAAAACTCCCAGTGTTGGAGCATTCACCGCTTCTGGAGGCAGGTTGTTCCACTGGTTAATTGTTCTAACTGTCAGGAAATTCCTCCTTAGTTCTAGGTTGCTTCTCTCTTTGGTTAGTTTCCATCCATTGCTTCTTGTCCTGCCTTCAGGTGCTTTGGAGAATAGCTTGACTCCCTCTTCTTTGGGGCAGCCCCTGAGGTACTGGAAGACTGCTATCATGTCCCCCCTCATCCTTCTCTTCATTAAACTAGACATACTCAATTCCAGCAACCATTCTTCATATGTTTCAGTCTCCAGTCCCCTAATCATCTTTGTTGCTCTTCTCTGTACTCTTTCTAGAGTCTCAACATCTTTTTTACATCATGGCTTTATTGAATGTGATTTAAACTGAGAGTCAGGTTTTAGGAATCGGGCAACAATAAAGAAGCTCGTCTTTCTCATTCCAGGGTGATAAAAAGGGAGTTTTAAGGTTTTGATTTTATTTGATGTAGAGATTATAATGTAATTATTCCACGTGGGCAGTCCATTGATTCTTTGCCTAATCTTATGAACAACAAAATCATTGGTTTTATTTCTGTCCAGTTAAAATTAGCACACCTTTTTCCAATATTAGCAGAAAAGAGATTTCATAATACAACCACTTTGTATGTATTTATGCATTGCTATTTAGTTCCATAAAGCTTACATATATATCTGGATATTGATAGTTTTGTAAAAGGAATGTATTATTTGTATATGAAGTTTCTCATTAAAGACATTCTCTACAATAAAACTATGATTCATAGTAAAATCATGCTGGAAAATATTTTGACAGTGAACAACCTTGAATCAAGCTATATACCATAACGTTTTTGTTTTTGTTTTAATTTTAATTTAGTGTGTTCCTGGAAACCTGGATACTCTAGTTGATGAATCATGGATTCTGGCTTCATAAGTTGTAAAAACTGACAGAATTAGGATCTATTAATAAACTATGGTTGAGCAAAACACAGCTGAGTTCAACTGACTCCAAGATCCCATCAAGATTAAACGCTCTTGAAAATTTTGATACTCACTTTCAATGTCTTCACCACTAAAGCTTTAATAAAAGAGACAGTGAACGCTTAGCACATCTCTTTGAAAAAAGAAAATTACACACAAGCTAGCTCTGAGTTTCCACCACCAAATGTTCAGCCAGACTAGCATACGCCTCCAACTGGAATTAGAATTCTTTTCATTTCTTACAGCAGCCTTTTTGAGAGTTGCCCGATACGCCACATTAATCTCTTAACTCAACAAAGATGCTGCCTTGTTTGATCCAGAATTTCTTTGAGGGTTTTTTTTTTTCTCTCCCCAGTAATTGGCTTAACAGATGATTCTTCTCCCTAATCCGTGATTTGATTCTAATAACATTCACAACCACCTTTACCTGCTCTAAGAAAGTTTTAATCTTTTTCAGACATCTGCTGAAAACAGTATTTTATGATCAGGCAGTAAGTGCTTTAGGAATGTATAAATTTCTGGAGTCCCCCCCCCCTGCAAAATGGAACATATATATACTGTCTGGGATCCTATCCAAGCACTTACGTGAGTATTAGCTGAGCATGCCTTATATTCTTTAAGAGTTATTGAAAGCAAGTCTTACCAATGGTTTCCATCATTAGGAAGAAGAAAAGCAAGACGAGAATTTTGTTGGCTTTTTATGGATTTTCTTTTTTTGTATAAGTTTTATTAGTTTTTATGGGGTTAGGAATAAGGTGGGGTCGGTTCATGTATTTAACAAACAATAATAGATACTAGTTAATTATCATAACAATATGTTAATTGATCACTCAGTAGCTTTCTTAATAATAATAATAATGATAATAATAACAACAAGAAGAACAAGATTAATAATAATAATAGTAATAATAATAATAAAGTTGGAAGGGACCTTGGAGGTCATCTAGTCCAATCCCCTGCTCAGGCAGGAAACCCTATACCATTTCAGACAAATGGCTGTCCAGTCTCTTCTTGAAAACTTCCAGTGTTGGAGCATTCACCACATCTGGAGGCAGGTTGCTCCACTGGTTAATTGTTCTCACTGTCAGGAAGTTTCTCCTTAGTTCTAGGTTGCTTCTCTCCTTGATTAGTTTCCATCCATTGCTTCTTGTCTTGCCTTCAGGAGCCTTGGAAAATAGGTTGACTCCCTCTTCTTTGGAGCAACCCCTGAGAAACTAGAAGTCTGCTGTCATTCACCCCTCGTCCTTCTCTTTATTAAACTAGACGTTCTCAATTCCAGCAGCTGTTTCTTATATGCTTTAGCCTCCAGTCCCCTAATCATCTTTGTTGCTCTTCTCTGCACTCTTTCTAGAGTCTCAACATCTTTTTTACATCATGGTGACCAAAACATTGTAAAGTGGTATTAATACTTCATGTGATCTTGATTCTATCCCTCATAATATATACTCAAAATTACATATCACATTCCTTTCTCTCTAACCCATCTTTCTGGCCATTGATAGAAATTATCCCATGACCTAACGTACACTGATCTTCTTTCTCTTTTATCTTTAAAGTCAATCTGTCCATTTCTGCACACTCTAGAATTTTCTTAATTAGTACTTCTTCAGCTGGTAAGTTTTCATTTTTCCAATGTTGGACCAATACAATTCTTGCTGCCATTAGTATGTGTAGCATTAAATATCTGCAATCTTTCTCAGAATTAGCTCCTATTATTCCTAACAAAAATAATTCTGGTTTAAAGTCTATTTGTTTTTGTGGATTTTCTTTTTTTTTTTTTTTTTAAAAAAAAGCTCGGTTCTGAACATAAGCAACGTGCTAAGTTTTCCAGACCCTGGTGGTGAGATCTAGATCAGCGGTCCCCAATTTTTCTGGCTCCAGAGACTGGCTTCAGAAGGAAAATTGTCTTTCACGGACCAGGGATTGTGTATGTGTAGGGAATGGTTTGGTATGTGCAACCTAGATGGTGTGCAAGTGTAGATGAAGCTTCACTCACTCGCCTGCCCTTGTGCGGCCCGATTGTTTTTATAAAGATATCTGAACATAATATTTATTTGATTACTTTACATGTATAAGTCATTTACAAAAAGAATCATGTGCAGTTTCAGTGCAGCTTCAAATATTCGAATAACAGGCAAAATTCTAATAGTATTAGATCACACATGCTTAATTCTTCATTGCTTTCAAGAGAAAGTGCCTGTTGTTGTTGTTGTTGTTGTTAATTGCAAAGTCGTGTTCGACCCATCGCGACCCCATGGACAACGTTCCTCCAGGTCTTCCTGTCCTCTACCATCTTCTGGAGTCCATTTAAGTTCATGCCTACTGCTTCAGTGACTCCATCCAGCCACCTCATTCTCTGTCGTCCCATTCTTCTATTGCCCTCAATCTTTCCCAGCATTAGGCTCTTCTCCAGTGAGTCCTTCCTTCTCATTAGGTGGCCAAAGTATTTGAGTTTCAACTTCAGGATCTGGCCTTCTAAAGAGCAGTCGGGGTTGATCTCTTCTAGGACTGACCGGTTTGAATGCCTTGCAGTCCAAGGGACTCGCAGGAGTCTTCTCCAGCACCATAGTTCAAAGGCCTCAATTCTTTGGCGCTCAGCCTTTCTTATGGTCCAACTTTCACAGCCATACATTGCAAAAAGTGCCTGTATAGCCATGCAAATAAAAACCCCTTTGAAAATATCATGCACTCATAGCAGGGAAATGGAACGGAGATGTAGGAAATAAAATTTCAATGCACTGCTTTTTAAAAAAAGTACTGAAATTCTAATATGAACATTGAGCAGTATTATTTGACTTTGCTCAATCATTCCAGTTCAGCCACCATCTTTTAGTAAGTGAAAAAGACAACAATCTTTGGGAGAAGAAATTGTTAAGTATGATTTTCTTTTGCATTGGACCGTTACTAGACTGGAGAGTGACGTTTGGGGACCTCTGACCTAGACTTTTGCACCAATCACAATTTCACAGGATCGTCCAGCCCAAAGAGTATTAAAGGAAAAATATATATATGTTTTTTTCCCTTCTGCTTTTAGCTGAATCAAAGGTCCAAGCAGCCATATGTCTAATTAAAAGGAAAAAAAAATAAAAGACTTACTGTAGGGTCCTTGCCAGCCATTTTGCACTCATCAACCTTGGCTGTTGATGCTGGCCAGAAAATCTGTGTGGAAAGAAAATGAAATATTTTAAATGAATTGCATAATCTTTAATACATATTCAGGGAGGAAGGGATTCGTCTGAGCTGTCCTACTGCCTTTGCATGGTGCCTAAACTCATAAAGTCAATATTGTTGTTCAACTAACTAACTTGCTGGGGAAATTTTGTCTTTAGTTTTTTTTTTCTTATGAAAAACTTATTTAAGGGACTGAATGCAGCTTTTTTTCCCCTTCTTCCCAACCTCTCTTCTGAAGTACCAATTAAACAGCAGAATAACAGAGGAATAGAATAGAATAGAACAGAACAGAACAGAACAGAACAGAACAGAACAGAATAGAATAGAATAGAATAGTTGGAAGGGACCTTGGAGGTTTTCTACACCACCCCGCTGCTCAAGCAGGAAACCCTGTACCATTTCAGACAAACGATTGTTCAATCTCTTCTTAAAAAACTTCCAGTGATGGAGCACCCACAGTTTCTGGAAGTAAGTTCTAGAGGTACATTCTGGAGCACCCACAACTCCTTAAGAACCTGGTTTAGGGCACTCGATTTGACCACTAGGACAGCAGAAATATCAACGCTGGGTAAATTGCATGCTCGGAGAATCAAATTTGCGCTTTGAGGGTGTGTTGGAGCAGTTAACGTTAACAGTGTGTTGGAGCAGTTAACGTTCCAGGCAGTTAACGTTCTAGTCCCAGTTTAGTAACTAAACCAGTTGGGTGATCTTGGACAGTCCTTCTCACTCTCAGGAAGAAGAAGGAGAAGGAGAAGGAGAAGAAGAAGAAGAAGAAGAAGAAGAAGAAGAAGAAGAAGAAGAAGAAGAAGAAGAAGAAGAAGAAGAAGAAGAAGAAGAAGAAGAAGAAGAAGAAGAATAAGAAGAAGAATAAGAAGAATAAGAAGAAGAAGAAGAAGAAGAAGAAGAAGAAGAAGAAGAAGAAGAAGAAGAAGAAGAAGAAGAAGAAGAAGAAAGAGGAGGAGGAGGAGGAGGAGGAGATGGAGGAGAAGAAGAAGAAAGAGGAAAAGGAGGAGGAGGAGGAGGAGGAGGAGGAGGAGGAGGAGGAGGAGGAGAAGAAGAAGAAGAAGAAGAAGAAGGAGAAGGAGAAGGAGAAGGAGAAGGAGAAGGCAAGGGCAAACCACTTCTGAACATTTTGCCTGGCTTATCCAGGCAATTGCTAGGAGTCATCAATGACCTGAAGGCACAAACATTTTGATTTTGTATAGTCTTTGACATGTCCAGTGATTCATGAGTAACTTTGGGGATAGTTGAGCAAGAGAAAGCAGATTTAGCATTTGCTTTTGCAACTTGCTCATTCTTTGCCTAAACTTGCCTGAACGTTTTCTGGATGACAGGGTCCGTACACAAAGACCTTTTTGTAACTCCAACTACTGGGAAAGGTTTGGGCCCATGGGATGTCTTCTCCAAATTGAGTCTCTCTGATGTGAGGCACAATGCTTTGATCTCCTCCCTTTGGGATCTTAAAGGATGGGAGGGGGGGGGGCCTCAGGAGCAAGGTATCAGAAACGAATCAAGGAGAGAAGCAACCTGGAATTAAGGAGAAACTTCCTAACAGTGAGAACAATTAACCAGTGGAACGGCTTGCCTTCAGAAGTTGTGGGTGCTTCAACACTGGAGATATTTAAGAAGAGACTGGACAGCTACTTGTCTGAAATGGTATAGGGTCTCTTGCCTGAGCAGGGGGTTGGACTAGAAGACCTCCAAGGTCCCTTTTAGCTCTATTCTGATTGATTGACTGATTAACCAGTGCAATTTATTTTATTTATTTATTTTTATTTATGAGACTTATATACCGCTTTAAGTGCAAGCACTCTCTAAGTGGTGTACACCAGTAAGCAATGGATATCTATATATATTTACATTGCCCCCAACAATCTGGGTCCTCATTTTACCTACCCCGGAAGGATGGAAGGCTGAGTCAACCTTGAGCCGGTGAGATTTGAACCGCTGACCTGCTGAACAGTCAGCTAAAGTGGCCTGCAGTACTGCACGCTAACTGCTGCGCCACCTTGGCTCTTGCCTTCAGAAGTTGCTCCAACATTGGAGGTGTTTAAGAAGAGACTAGGCGGTGACATGATAGCAGTGTTCCAATATCTAATGGGCTGATACAAAGACAAGGGGCTCAACCTATTTTCCAGGGCATCAGAAGGCTGAAATGGTACAGGGTCTCCTTCTTGAGCCTGTAGAAGACCTCCAAGATCCCTTCCAGCTCTATTCTAATTGAATTGCTGTAATGTGCTACGGAGCAGTATATAAGTCTGCTTTTGCTATTGCTAAAGATAAAAAAAAAAAAAAAAAAACATGGTTCCCAAAAACAGCATATTCTCCATGAGATTCACACAGGCTAGTAAGGGAAAGTGAAATAGGATGAGAAGCCAGACCCAAAAAGAAAAAAAAAAAGAAAAAGAAAAAAAGAAAAATAAATTAAACCCCAGTTGCTATGAACAAAGAACACAGCCTAGTATTATATGGTTGTTGAAGCGATTCCAGCTTGTAGCACTCTGCTGACGGAATAAGCTGCCATCAATTGTACTTTCAATTACTCGTCTAGAAAAGTTAGACAGACATTGTTCTCCTCCTGGTTCCTTATGTGAAATTTCAACAAATTCGTTCTGCTTCAAGGATCCACCATAAAATGCTTCTCAAGTTTCCATAATTGCAATGGCTGTCAGTGTGAAGACAAGTTTTTGAATGAGACATTAAACAGGGATTAGCCAATGTGGTCAGAAAGTGGTGTCTGGGTGCTGTCGCTCCCAGGTTATTGCCTGGAGCAATGCAGAATGTATGCAAAAGACCTCAATGAATAAGAACGTGAAACTCCGTGTGGTTAGAATATCACTTTTCTCTTTAGGAGAGTCTGGAAACTAAGAAGAAATTTCCTGACAGAACAATTAATCAGTGGAACAACTTGCCTCCAGAAGTTGTAGGTGCTTCATCACTGGAGGTTTTTAAGAAGAGATTGGACAGCAATTTGGCTAAAATGGTATAGAGTTTCTTGCCTTAGCAGGGGGTTGGACTAGTAGACCTCCAAGGTCCCTTTTTATTCTATTCTATTCTATTCTATTCTATTCTATTCTATTCTATTCTATTCTATTCTATTCTCTCCATTTCATATTCTATTCTCTCCATTTCATTTTCTATTCTATTCTACTCTATTTTATTCTACTAATAATAATAATGTTGGAAGGGACCTTGGAGGTCATCTAGTCCAACCCCTGCTCAGGCAGGAAATCCTATACCATTTCAGACAAATGGCTGTCCAGTCTCTTCTTAAAAAACTTCCACTGTTGGAGCAATCACTTCTTCTGGAGGCAGATTGTTCCACTGGTTAATTGTTCTCACTGTCAGGAAGTTTCTCCTTAGTTCTAGGTTGCTTCTCTCCTTGATTAGTTTCCACCCGTTGCTTCTTGTCCTGCCTTCAGGTGCTTTGGAGAATAGCTTGACTCCCTCTTCTTTATGGCAGTCCCTGAGATATTGGAATACTGCTATCATGTCCCCCCTTGTCCTTCTCTTCGTTAAACTAGACGTACTCAATTCCAGCAACCGTTCTTTATATGCTTTAGCTTCCAGTCCCCTAATCATCTTTGTTGCTCTTCTCTGTACTCTTTCTAGAGTCTCAACATCTTTTTTATATCATGGTGATCAAAACTGGATGCAGAATTCTACTCTATTCTAAAGGGATACATATCCAATTCTATGTTGGAGAAGATTCTTGAGTGTTCTTTGGACTTCAAAGAGATCAAATCAGTCAACACTAAAGGAAACCAACACTGACTGTTCTTTGGAAGGACAGATGCTGAAGCTGAAGATCAAATACTTTGGCCACCAAATGAAAAGAGACGATTCCTTGGAAAAGACTCTGATGTTGGGAAAGATGGAAAGCCAAAGGAGAAGGGGACGGCAGAGGAGGAGATGGTTAGACAGTGTCATCAACACAATGAGCATGAATGTGGGGAAACTCCAGGAGACAGGGGAAGACAGAGGAGCCTGGTGTGTGGTGGTCCATGGGGGTCGCAAAGAGTTGAACATAACTTAGTGACTGACCAAACAAGTTGTCAAAGTCTCCTGTGTGATGAATGGACATTAGCCAGGAAATTAGAACACCTTGAGATTCATTGAGTTCTCCCCACAACATGCCTCATCAAAAAAGAAGGAGATGGCAGAGGGTGAGATGGTTAGATAGTGTCATCAACACAATGAACATGAATTTGGGTAAACTCTGGGAGATGGTGGAAGACAAGGGGGTCTGGCATGCTATGATCCATGGGGTCATGAAGAGTCAGACATGATTCAGCAACTGAACAGCAACAAAATCTCTCTTGGGAGACTTCTGAAGTAGTACAGGTAGAGTAGAAATAGTAGAGGTAGGTAGAAGAGCAGCTAAGATTATTAAGGACCTGGAGACAAAGACATATGAAGAACGGCTACAGGAATTGGGTATGGCCAGTCTAGAGAAAAGAAGGACTAGATGGGACATGATAGCAGTGTTCCAGTATTTGAGGGGCTACCACAAAGAAGAGGTGGGTCAAATTATTATCCAAAGCACCAGAAGGCAGGACAAGAAACAATGGATGGAAACTAATCAAGGAGAGAAGCAACCTGGAATTAAGGAGAAACTTCCTGACAGTGAGGACAATTAACCAGTGGAACCGCTTGCCACCAGAAGTTGTGGGTGCTTCATCACTGGAGGTTTTTAAGAAGAGATTGGACAGCTACTTGACTGAAATGGTATAAGGTCTCCTGCTTGAGCAGGGGGTAGGGAATTCCTGAGTCAGCCTGGCTGGTTCAGGAATTCTGGGTATTGAAGTCCACAAGTCATAAAAGAGCCAAAGTTCCCTACCCCTGGACTAGAAGACCTCCAAGGTCCTTCTCAGCTCTGTTATTCTGCTCTTCTGTTAATATTGCCAAAGTTTTGGACTGCATTCATTTAGCACAGCGGTTCTCAACCTGTGGGTCGGGACCCCATTTGGGGACCAAACGACCATTTCACG